CCCATTTAATAATGGAAAGCCTCTTGTGGTTAGGAGACTTTGGTGAAATCTACTTAGTTTGAACTTTCAAAGCCGTAAAATTCCCTGATAGCTCAGTCTGTTAAGTGTTGCTTATTTTACAGCGGACAGCTTCTAAATTGAAATGTGTATTCACTATAGTTGTAATGGTCTTTTTCAACTTTAAAAATAATCAGTTCATTCAGCTACAAAAGAAATATAAAGAAATTTCGAAGGCTAATAAAAGCACAGGGCACATGAGCCTGTTCCTGTTTCTTAACGGAAGATTACTAGCATCCGTGTCTGAAAGCCCATGAATGTGTGTGTGTTTGAGGAGCAAGCCTCTGCTCATTTGTCTGCCTATTGTGAGCTGTCGTGCACCTTTGTGGGGTTTTGTCACAGGGTGAAGGCCCCTGAATGGAGGCCTTGTGCCCTACTTGATTTGAAATCCTCCCTGTTAATCTAAAGGCCCCCGCAGGGCGCCCAGCTGGAAGCCCGTGTGACAAGTGGAAGTCGGGATCTGGAAGAAACTTGGTGTTGGGGGAAGGGGGCCAGGCGAGTGGTGATAATCTTTCAGCCTTGGCTTTTGTCCCCCACAGCCTACTTGTTACACTCTGCTGGCAACCGGATTGCAGAGCTATCCCTTTTAAGTATCCTTGGATTGCATGTGCTCACCTGTCTTTTATAGGTTAAAAACCTGGACAACTTGGATTTAATTCCCTTACGGAGTGTACTGCTGACAGGGCATTGTGCATTACTGTTAGAGGTTAGCTATCTTGATTAATTATGTGTGTGGATTTATTTAAAGGGAGAAGGGCTGCTTGGGAAATGCTGCTTGGCCTGCCCTTCACAGAGCCTGTTTAAGCAGGTTGCACCAGCACTTGGCTGGTTAAATCTAGTTTGTGCAGCTTGTGTACTTTGTAGTATCAGCTATTGGTTCAAAGTTTCTTGGCTTAAGAAGCCTTGCAATTTTAAGTGCATTACTGCATGAGAAAGGGGTGGGGCAGCAAAAGCTTTTTATAGGGTTTCACCTAATAAACCTTACTTTTTTAAATAAAGATTAATTTTTGAAGTATTATTTTGAGGATTTAACAGGAGAATTAGAACGTCATATTTCTTTAATTCTAATACATTTAAACTGACAGGGAAAGGGAGAGAACTTTATTTTTAAGTGATGTTTTTTCTTTTTCCCCCTCTTCAATCACAAACTGGTTCTTCCACTTTGAGTGCCAATTAAGACCTGCTGTAATAAGTATTTCGCATTCCGCCCTGCTGTTGGGCTTCAGGTGCCAGTGGTGTGGAGTGCTTAGTAGCTGAGCAGGCACCGTTACGCAGCGAGAGGCCTGGTGCGGAGTAAGTTCGGTGTGGCGTGGCATTTGGTTTACATAATATCACTCCAGCACGGTGCTGAGGCCACGCGGAATCCATCCTGGAGAAGTGTTCCACCGGATGCCAGAAAGGCCATGTTAATGATAAGTTTCTGGTACCTCAGCAGGTTTTGGGGGCGTGTTTTGTTCCCCACTGCTGTTTTATTCTTCATTGTGGTTCTCTGGAGACTGTACCACGTGAACGTAGGAATTGTAAGCGCTTTGTTTATTGGTTTTTGTAGAATCCCCAGGATACTGTGAGCTTAATAATTACGTTGTTTTGTGGGTTATTGAGAGGGCATATTAAAAGCCAGTTGATAATAAAGTTTTCATTAATTATTTTAACATTTTCAAGGTAATATTAAAGGCAGTTCAACCAGAATCAGAGTCAAACATTACCACCAAAATCAGAATCACACGGTAAAATAGCTTTTGGTTTGCTTTGGTTTAGAACAGTGGTTGTCAACCTTCTGGCCCTTTAAATACAGTTCCTCATCTTGTGACCCAACCATAAAATTATTTTCGTTGCTACTTCATAACTGTAATGTTGCTACTGTTATGGATCGTAATGTAAATATCTGATATGCAGGATGGTCTTAGGCGACCCTTGTGAAAGGGTCATTCGACTGCCAAAGGGGGCGCGACCCACAGGTTGAGAACCGCTGGTTTAGAAGGAAGTTGGTTATAGCTGCCCTCCTTCAACTTTTATTGACTAGTCATCTTCCTGCAAAGTTCAAATACGGCCTTTGATTCATACGGTCTTGTAATAAGTTTAGCTCTTAATGACCTGTGTGTGTTTGTGCTCTTGACAGTTCACTGCCTTTTTGTTTTTACTTTTGATAAAGTATTAAGAAATGATAGCTGTGACATTTTATGCCAGCTTAAAGGTAACATGAGTTGATAGTCTGTGATAAACCTTTGCTTCATTTTGGTTACGGAAGAAGCTTATAACGCATTGCAATATTTATGAAGTGCTTTCTGTTTGTGTTTGCTTAGGACATGTCTCAGGAAGGCTATGGAACTAGGTCTCAACCTCCTCTGGCTCCTGGGAAACCTAACCATGAAGACTTGAACCTGATTCAACAAGAAAGACCATCAAGTTTACCAGTAAGACATTAATGTGCTGATTTGGAAATGTCAGGGGTTAAAGATTTTTTAAGAAGCTGTTGTTTTTGTTTGTTCTACTCTATATTAAGGCTTACAAGTTTCTAGATTTCAGATATATTTGCGATTTTTTTAAGGGCTTTATTCTTAGGAGCTATGTAGGCCTACGAATGAATCTGGATAAGTCTATTTCATTGTACGCGTCTCTGAGTCCAGTTGGAAGGTTTTATTGGCTGCTGGGTTTTGTGGCAGAAAAGTGTTTGTGTGGTACGGCTGCACTCGGTACACCCTGTTGCTCTCTGGTCATGGTACAGACCTGAGGGGGTTTTATAAGAGCTCAGTATTAAGGGGTTCCCACTAGGCAAAGCGTATAACTGATGAGATAAAGCATCCGGTGGTGGTTTGAATTTCTTCAGGGACTTTATATAATGAGAAATCACCCAATCTTTTTCACCCAAAAGAAAGTATTTTGTTTAAAATTGGAAAAAGCAGCATATAAGTATTTCCACCAGCAAATACTGTATGGTGGCTGATGTACATATCGACTAGAGTAGAGGCTGTATTACAGAGTATAATGCTGATGCTCATAAATAGTTCATCTGTGCTTAATTTGCTTTTTTAATAAACAGCCTAATTTAAATGAGGTTTTCCTTATAAACTAAAATAATACATCTGTGCAAAATTTTATATTTTCTTGTTAAAATGTTTTGGTTTGAAGAATTATTGTTATTGCTTAATCTCTATTAAGAAATTTTATTTCAGGTGGGAGTTCAGGCTAACCACAATATTAAATATGTTTACATTAAGCACGATTTATTATATTGCTTCTGAACATTGAGAGCAGCATTGGTAATGAATGTCATGCATGACATTTGGCAGGCATACCACCCCCATTTTCCATGTACACGTAGCCCTAGGGAAGAAGGTAAGTGATGGCGACAGCGTGTCCAGGATCTGTAAATCTGATGCACACGTTTTTGAAACTCTAATTTTACAGCTTTTATTTCTCTGGTGGGTGGCATTTATCGTGGCATGTTTTCAGTCACCGTGGAGTACTGATTGTATAGTTAACTTGGTTTTTGAAGGAATGAAGAACGTGATGGATTCTGTGTTTTATCCTGTAAGCTTTCTTCTTTAGCAGATAAATCACAGAGAGCATGTAGTATGTGGGTGTGCGTGTGTGCTCATGTGTGCGTGCGCACACACTGTTGATAAGTGGAGCGTTTGCTGAGTATTTGGAAATTGGCCTGGTTTTAGGAATTTGACTCCTGGGAAGCAGATGGACAATGAATTCCACTTTTCTTCCTCCCACCAGTTTTTAAGTCTTCTCAGAGAAGCTAACTTTGTAGGTTTGTGGTTGGCTGGTGCTGTCCACTGATACGCAGATTGGAGACTTTGTTCTGTATTGATCCAGGCCTTCTGTTAGCTGTAAGAGTAGTTTCAGAGTTCTGCTCTCTTCAGATCCGCTGGAACTGTGGCATCACCCACAGGCTGTGCTCCTCCAGCCCTGATGGGAATGGGGAGTTGACGTTCAGTTAACTCACTGCAGACTTAGGGAGGGAGGAAGTGTGGGAGTCCCAGAACACTGCTGCAGAAGCCTGCTTTGAGATGGTGCTTTTTGAGTTGATTACTATTGGTAAACCAGCTAAAAGTATTTTAGGAAGTAAGGCAATATATATGTTCATCAATCGTTTAAATTTTTCTGAATTACTCTATCTGTATACATATCATATAATGGCTTGTTTTCCTTCTTAAGTGTTAAGTGTTGCCCTAGTTGGTATTTCCCTTCTTTTTTTTTGGTAACTCACAGCTAATTAAGATGCTGCCTGACTCAATAACATTTCAATGATCTTTTTTAGAGAGCAAAGTTTTCAAGTTTTATGGTGAGTTTATGGAAGTACCATACCGGTCACTGAATGAAGGACAAACTATATAGATCAGTTGGTGTACCTAACCCTTTGCCCCCATCTGTGAAGATGAAAACTGGCTTTATTTAAATGAATTTTAGCACGCCACATATTTTTCCAACAGACTCTGTTTATGTAGAAAGTTTCTAAATGAAATTTACAAATATTTTTTTATTTAGGTGAATACATTGATATACACAATTAAGGTAATTATAGTTTGGGGAAAGGATTTGTTGGTGTTCAGTACGGATCTAATATCACATATTTTTAGTGTTACATTTATTATTAAGTATTTTAATTCTCCAACTTGGCTAAGTAGATACTATCGGTACTGTGAAACTGTACTTGTTATTTATCTGAATTTCCTATGGAGTCTTTTGTAGATTTGTGCCGTGTTTTTTCTTAACAAATGTTGGTGATATATATTTTGTCTTTTTACTTAAGGTAAAAGGTAATCCATCATATTTGTAATCTCTAGCTTTGTAATTTGGAACTAAGGAAATTGTGGTCTTATCTGTACATTTTAAAAATATGGCACAGTGATTCTAATGTATAGTTAGTATGTCTTATCATTACAAATGTGACTACAAGGAACCTTTTTGCTTATTTTGAGGTGGATTTTGTAATATTTTTCTGCATTGTGATGTTTTCTTCAGCATGTGTTTGTTCCACAGTTAACTTTCCATTACAAAAAGTCAGGACCTTTCCAGCATCCTTTTGCCAGATCTATAATTTGATGCCTTAGTGATCTGTCCTCTCACCATTGTTTGAACTGGTATTTGTCTATATTTGCACATCGTTAAATTCTTGGTGATCTTCAGTAGCTAATGTAGTTGTTTCCCAGCTGACTTAGGTCTTCAGATCATCCACATAAAGCAAATGACTGATAAATTAATACTTGTCCTCTTGTTGCCCTAGGGCCATGACCAGTAATATTTGCTTTTCACTTAATGCACTCAGACCTAATCTCAGAACAAATATTCCTTAACAATGTCCACTTATTTCCATACCTCTTAACCATACAGCTTTTTCCCTGTTGAGATACATTAACTTACATACCTTTTGTATGACCATTATTGACAAATCTTAGCATATAACATGTAATGTTGAATTAGTTTGAGCCTGGCCCGAGTGGCTCAGTTGGTTGGACATCGTCCTGTGCACCAAAAGGTTGCCTGTTAGATTCCTGGGCACATAGGCCCAGGTTGGGCATATATACCCACGTCAGGGCACATATACCCAGGTCAGGGCACATATACCCAGGTTGCAGGTTCTACCCCGGTCAGGGCAGGTATGGAGATCAACTGATCAATGTCTTTCTCTCTCACTCTCGCTCTCTCCCCTCTCTCTCTGTCTTCCTTCCCGCCCTCTCTCTCCCTTCCTCTCTCTAAGCATGTCCTTGATTAAGTATGAAAAACATTAGTTTGAAGAACTCTGTCTCCTTGTAATATCATCACTTAGAAAATTAGAGCATATTATATAGTTTTTTCCTACCTCTAATATTGATATGAAGTGAAGCCAGAATTTTTAAATGAAATAAAGAGTGGAAAGTCTAAAAAATGCTATAAATTTAACTCTTTTATTTTATAAACATTGAGTATATCTCAATTTACATTCTAAGATAACCCCCAAAATGTGATGCAGCACTTTTTGTTGAGTCTTTTGTTATATTTTCATCTTTTGTGTCATTCACTGTTTATCTTTTTAGTTTAGTTATTTTTTATAGCTGTCTTGGTTCCCATTAGAGTAGGATCGTTTTTGAATATTTATGTTTCATGCAGTAGGTATTTTCCTAATAGTTGTTGTGAAAACTTGTAAGTACACTAGAGGCCCCATGCACGAATTTGTGCAGTGATGGGGTCTCTTGGGGTGGCCTGGGGAGATTGGGCTGAAACCTGCAGCCCAATGCCGCCTACAGCTCCTACCTGCCGCTCCTGCTCATCTCAGCCCCACTGCGCCTGCCAGGGGCTTGCGCCCAATTAGTCCCAGTTGGGAGAGGCTCGCACCACAGCAGCGCTCACCAGCCATGAGCCCTGCATCTGGCGTGCTCCCGAGGGGAGTGGCCTGCGGGATTGGGCTGAAATCTGCTCTCTGACATCCCCTGAGGGGTCCCGGATTGTGAGAGGGCACAGGTTAGGCCGAGGGACCCACCAGTGTACAATCGGGGCAAGGAGGGACCGCAGGAGGGCTCCAGGGCGTTTCCAGCCCCATCTCACCCAGTCCCTATCAGCCGGACCCCAGCAGCAAGCTAACCTACCGGTCGGAGCATCTGCTCCCTGCTGGTCAGTGCACGTCATAGCAACTGGTCAGTCAGTCAACTGTCTGCCCCCTGGTGGTCAGTGCACGTCATTGTGAGCGGTTGAGCAGCCTTAACATATCATTAGCATATTACACTTTGATTGGTTGAATAGTCGACTAGTCACCGGAGTACCGGACACATAGAATATTAGGCTTTTATTATATAGTATTCTTAAACAGTTTCAGCATTTTCTTTTAATTGCTTACGGGATCTTTTCCCAGGTGCTGAATGGACAGCAGGCAAGCCTGTGTGTCTCTGTGTCACAGGCACACAGTGGTCGTCAGAGTGTGTGACGCTGTGTTGCAGGTGGTCTTATTCTTACAGACATTTTCTTTCATCATAAAATTGCAGCTGAGTTTTACCTTGGACTTTAAGCTTTAAGAGAAGTGGGCACTTTGGAGAATGACGCTAAAAGGAAGTGAAAACATCTTCCTTAGTAATATATATTTTCTTAATTAAAAAAGAAATGGACAGAAGCAGTAATGATAATTTCGGTAAATATGGTACAGATAGATATCTTGTTAATAAAATATTTATAAATCTGCACAAAGAAGTAAACAAACCAAAAAGCTCTGATTTTTCTTCCTCGTCTAAGCAAATAGGCTTTCTCCTCCAGGGACCTGGGTTGTTAAATATTCCTTAGTTGAGAAATAACTACTTGTTTTATTCTTCAGAAGAGGCCTGGACCATTGCACTTCAGATGGGCCCATTATTCTGTGTACCGAAGACACCGATATGATCAGTCATGTCCTCATAGCCTTTGAAAGGTCCACCAGGTCATTAAAAAGATCTTTGTG